TTAAACGACTCACGAGACTACATGTGTATTTCAAATGTCATTCAATATTCCTGTAATACAAACCAGTTTGAGTTATATAAAGAAATTTCTACTTTCAGTAACGGAGGCCATTTTGGTTGGCGAGACAAGCTATCGAATACATTTTGAAAGGGACAACCTAAGGACTATGTAAGTTAAGTTTAGATCCAATTGCCATTCCACTGCAAGGAAGTAGATTTTTCATTGATTTTTCTGTCAAAATGTGCATAATTTGCATATTCGACAAAATCAGAAAAAGTTTGAATTTTATATCTATGCATTTTAGCCCTATGCTCTATTTATAAAAACGGTGGCCATGTTGGTTTGAGGGCAGGATCATCATATACAACGTTGAAAGTAGACACCCTAAGAATGATGCATGCGAAATGTCGATCCAATTGGACAAGTAGTTTAAGAGGAGAATATTTTTGACAGATGAACAGAGGACGGACACAAAATGATAGCAAAAGTTCAGCTTTGCTTTTAACCAAAAGAGCACAAAATTGTGATGTTTAAAAACATCTAAAAAAAAACCTAAATATGACTTGCTTATGATGACTATACTACACATACATCACCTGTAGTTTTACTATGTCAGAAGGCGCAATTCCTATTTCAAAATGCTACAACAACCAGATTGACGTATAACAATGTTAATCCACTATTCCGTCATTCATGACATTATTTTTTGAAATTCGACTTAATATAAAACATCGACATATGTCATGTTAAACCGTTTTAAGGACTACAACATTGAACAATTGATTGATTCGACATCATATTCTGTTTAAAAAATATTCCCTTTTTTCTCCACAAACTTTCTTTGTTGTTAGAATTTCCAATTCATATTGTATGTGCAGTTTCTTTTAAGACTGGCCCAAACATAATGATTTTCTCAATTCTTATTTTGAAGGTACTGTTCCTGGTTAGATCTTTGAATAAGTTGACATGTACCGACCTACTCGTTTGAACGCTTACATACTGTCCCGGATGATTTTTACATTTGTCGTTAATAAGTTAATTGTTCGTTTATTTGTGATGGATTCATCGTTTAAAATAGATTCAACACAAAAATATGTTTCGAAACGTTTGATATTAAATCATGCATTTAGATAACGTCACAGTTGATGACAAATAGTCTTAAATGTTTTCCCTATAGTCTGTTTATTTAATTAGGTTTATTCAACAACATTTTAACTAGTGCTGTTAACAATTTACCTCACTAGTCCATCATTCTAGTGAAATGTCCCTATTTATTAATTTAAAAAACCGGGGATACTCTCTGGAATGCATAATTATATTCGATATCAGTTATCAATTGTGTTGGTGGGATTTGATTGATTGATTGTTGTTTGCGTTACGCCGCATTAGCACAACAAGGCTATATCGCGGCGATGGTGGGATTTGAAGTTCCAATTATATTCTAAGTTAAAAGAAAACATTTAAAATTGAGAATAGAAACGGGTAATGTTTCAAAGAGACAACAACTCGAAAAAAAAAGAGCAGAAAACAGCGCAAGGCCACCAATAGGTCTTTAGCTGGCTCCTAAAGAAAAATGTGCACTAGTTCAATGGATGTCAGACTAAACCGCGAAACATATAAATGAACCAAACTATAAAAAAGAAAAAAAAAACATGCCAGAGGTTGTTGACTTTGGACAGGCGCAAAAATGCGACGGGGTTAAACTTGTTTTGTGAGGTTTCTACCCTCCCTCATACCTCTAGCTAATGTAGAATAAACAAACACACAGCAATACGCACAGTTTAAATGAAGTCCGAGTCCGATGTTAGAATAGGTAACAGAAAAAAACTAAGCAAAATGACAATGATCAACATCAATTAACAAAGGAATACTAGCAGTTACTGACATACCAGCTGCAGACCTCAATTAAGCTGATTGAAAGATTATGTTTTCCTCATATGAAAATCAAGCACAATCCCTCCGGTTAGGGGTTTATAATCATACCAGGGTTTATTATCATACCAGGGTTAATTATCATACCATCATAAAATATACCAAAAGAACAAAACCCGTATTATGCCAACAGCTGATTTTAGAATTTGTATGTTTACATGTGAAGTACACCATATGCATGATATGTTGATCCTCATTACATTTCGGATTATTCTAAGATAGGGAAGGAATTTCTATCCATTTGTGCAAATAGCGAAAGTTGTTTTTCGTTGAGGGAAGACAAATAAAAAGTACGCAATTTGTTTTAGAAATATCAGAGACATACTAGTACTAGCCAAACTTACAAGGGAGTGACTTTATAAACTACGGTGTATATATATCCCAACTCGTTCGTTATGCCCGTGTGTGTAGTGATGTCATGGATTTTAACGAACGTAATCAATGCATCACTGGTAAATTATTAAATCAAGTATTTCGTTACAATAAATTACGTAAAACTTTTTCTAAGTTCTTTCATAGATACAAAGATTTGATTAGTAAATTTGGCTGTACTTGTAGAAAACTGATTAAAAACGGTATTTCACATCCTAAATTTTACGGTAATATTGTACTTAAAGCGCGGAAATCACTATGTGATCCGTGTAAACGCATCGAACCTTTAAACAGACTTATTAGTAAAGGTTATCTTACCAATGTTGTAATTAGATCTTTGAATATAGTTTACATTGGCACTAATATCGATTTTGTCATCAGGAAATTAAAACATAACTAAATTTGTATTTTTTTCAAGTGGGATGTATAAAGACAAACCCACTTTCGTTTAGATCTATAAAGAGGTTAAACTCCTAACTATCCTACTGTCTGTCGATACATTTATTTTTGGCATTGCACTAGTCATGTCTTCTTTGACTGTCCATGACGTTAAATACTAAATCCCTGGGATGTGTTTTAGTTGATTTTAGTCTCTGATGCATGATTTTTTTATTATTAATTGTTTTGGCTTTAAACTAGCTGTCAGTAACTGCGAGTACTCTCAAATCGTACTTTCTTGTTTATTTGACCTGTTGATACTAATTGTATTGATTTTTGTTATTTAATGTTATTCAGGGTTATATCTGGTCTATATACCAGCTTTGATAAGTGTTTGGTATAACTATAAATTTTCACTTCGTACTATGAACATCAAAAATATTTATTTTGTAAAAATATTTCCTTTCTCTATTGGTACTGTACACGTATACATAACAACAAAATTATTTTCATTTACCTGTGTTTAAAGTTATTGCAAATGGCTGATATTTTTGTTCGAGCATATTGTTTTTCTTTAATTGTTTAACATTTCTTACCGATATAATATGTTACTTTTATTATTCTTCCCTTAGTTTATTTATTTTGAACTTACATTGTGTCATAGGTCAAATTTATTTGTTCAGTGTATGTTCAATGGTGTTAATATGTCCTTTCATTGAGTTAAGCTATTTCAATTGATATTTTATAGTGTGTTTTTGTATGTTGTGATGTTACATTATTGTTTCAGAAAAAGGGTGAAGGTTTGGTACCATTAAAACGTTTAAACCCGCTGCATTTGTTTGCACCTGTCCTAAGTCAGGAATCTGATGTTCAGTAGTTGTCGTTTGTTGATATGGTTCATAAGTGCTTCTCGTTTTTCTTTTTTTATATAGATTAGACCGTTGGTTTTCCCGTTTGAATGGTTTTACACTAGTAATTTTTTGGGAACCTTTATAGCTTACTGTTCGGTGTGAGCCAAGGCTCCGTGTTGAAGACCGTACTGTGATCTATAATGGTTTACTTTTATAAATTTTGACTTGGATGGAGAGTTGTCTCATTGGCACTCATACCGCATCTTCTTATATCTACTAAAAAGGGTCTCAATAGGGTCGATTTTAATTCTCATTTTCAAAAGTGTAAAGCATCACCGATACAAATAATAATAAACGGAAATAGAAAAGTGTAACCTTATACCTGCAGCAGATCCCAACATTTTGACATTTTTTTTTTGTGTAAATATATGTACAATTGAACAACGATCACATAACAATACTAATTTGGATAAAAACTGTAGAAGGACTGGTAGATAATTCTAAAATATCTTTAGATATTAGAAAGTAAATTGGATGATTTAATTTAAAGATCAAAATACTGGATTTCTTAAAAACTGGATTGAAATTAGGGCTCCCGATGTGTAATCAATATTATAGATTCCTCTGCTTTAATTACACTTGGACTTTAATCCTGTTATTATACTATATATCCAATAGAAACAAAAATGGTGCTTTGAAACACCTAAGATATACATTGCATGTCAATGACACAGATTATGTTTATTGCAATGAAATGTTAGAGAAATTTCCTATAACTGTCAAATGCAAGGGAATATTTTTTTTTACCATTTTTTTGTATGCAACCGGATGCGACGTACTATGATTTGGTGGTATTACACCTAAATTTAGATTGTTGTATATATTATATTTTTGTGGACTGTATGATCAATATATGATCCATCGCCCCGTAAGATTTATAGTTGTCTGTTATTCAGTCATTTTGTAGTATTGTATTTTTGTATCGAAAATATGACAGTTGTTTTCCATTCTTTAGATGTGTTTGAGCTTTTTGTGTTGTAATTTTGTTAAGGACTTTCCGTCTTGAGGTCTACCCTGGTATATATGGGATTTGCATTGTCTACATTTTTATTTTGCAGTGTTTGTTTCTTGCTGCTATTTGTGTCTCTCTGATATTTTGGCAACGATGTTATACTTTTATACTTGCCCTTACTTTTCATTTCCAATGTATTATTTATTAAGATTAATTTTAAAACTTAAGGGATGCAGGTACCTTTTCTAGTAATAAACAGAGGAGTATATTATTCAGACAGTTGTTTCGAACAAAAACGACAAAAAAACAACTGCTAAAAGCTTACATGTAATTAGTTCTGGCATCATATAATTATCATAGGGTATTAAGCGCTCAGTAGAAAATGCTATCATCAAAATGCTAATTTACTTTAAAATTTGTTTTATTCACCGAATTATACTAAAAAATAAACATACATTCTGATCTTCAAAATAGAGTTAAAATTAAACAAATCAGGAACATCTTTCATCATAAATAAGGAGATTATACTTTTTATTTATCTCGATGATTCACTTATGTTTCTAGTGAAGTCGCATTTATCCACATACAGCTTTAGCAACATGACAACCAGCAACGGCAGCTCCACACGTTCCAACAGTAGCTTCACCACAGAGCGCTATACAAGCTCCAAATGTAAAAAAGGTACAAATAGCACATCCTGCAGTCACTACACCACAAGTAGTTCCAAGAGCAGTGCAACTGTCGTCCAGTGCTTTGTGGTCACATGATCTCTTTTGTCTATTATTTGTTTCAGGCGTTCCAACCTGTGTGTTGTTAAAATCAATTGCATCTGCGATGACTTTCCCAAACACGTTCTTAGACAATAGTGTGGTAATATCCCCCAAATCGTTGACAGTGTCCAGCAATTCTTTTGGCTCATATGGACATTTGGAGTACATTGATTCACAGACATCACTATCTTTTACGGAGTGTCCATTTTTAGCTGCATTTAAAACATGTTCCATATTCGGATAGTCAGCTAATAATTTCCTGGCTTCAGCATATAACGAGCTGTAACGATCTTGTCCGTTGTCAGTTGCAATTTTAGTTACGACACCTAAAGGGTTGCTCAACATTTGATTGCGTTTGGATTCTGGTTTTGCAGCAATTATACACATCAATTCCCCTACACATTCAGTAGTATGATCGTAAAAGTCAAGTACTTTGTCTGCAATAGCAATCACAGCTTTTACATTTTGAAGCTTGTTCGAATCATTGGCGTGAACTAATAATGTTCCAGAGGTCCCCAATACAGCGAAAAACCAACAATATATGGAAATCATCCCTCAATTATTTCTGCAATTTAAAGTTCAAAATAAATATAATTAAATGTATAAATAGTTTACTTTTACCCTGTTATAGACACATTATATTTTACTTCCATATCTATATGAAATGTGAATATTGATTTTTGCGTTTTTGTTTAGTTGCTGACGAATCTGTAATACTATGCAATCCTATTAGCACGGAAGATTTTAATATAGAAGTTAGTCATTTACAGTTATCAAAAAGCAATGGTCATTTGCAATAAACATCGGAGTGGTTCTTTGTTTGTTGAATATCAGGTAGGATTTTCAATCGTGATCGAGACATAAGCTTTATCAAATATCTTGGATGTTTTATTTCTGTTGTAAACTCTTGTTTCTTTGTGTTTTCAATTATATCCAAATTAAAGATAAAGAATTATATTATTTCCTATGAGTTTGTCTATCAGCACACCAGAAGGTGCTGAACATTGTAGAAAACAATCACGAAACAATTCGTCTCTTTTTAGCCCAATTGAACAAAAGTCTGCATCCATAGTGCATACTAGTCATAGAAAAATATTTCGTAAAGATAACAACAAAATGTTTATTTGACTTTGCTATGTTTTATTTCTAAACATCATATATATTGACCTTTTCATTGTCCTGTGTCGTATAATATTAGCAATTCAGTTTGAAACAAAGTAAAATCACAAAAATACTGAACTCCGAGGAAAATTCAAAACGGAAAGTCTCAAATCAAATAGCAACATCAAATGATAAAACACATCAAACGAATGGACAACAACTGTCATATACCTGACTTGGAACAGGCATTTTCAAATGTAGAAAATGGTGGATTGACCCCGGTTTTATAACGCTAAACCTCTCACTTGTATGACAGTCGCATCAAATTCAATTATATTTACAACGATGCGCGAACAAAAGAGACATAATAGGTAACATTGTCAAAATATGGGTACAGCAGTCATCACTGTGTCATTATCTCAAAACAAACAAACATTTAACAAAGAAGCACAAAAAGCATCTATCAAATATAACAACCACATGCATTGCTTACTTAAATATGTACTTTAAATCAACACATAAAGGATTGAAATATTAAACGTCTTGTGACTGCATTCACATCTACTCTCAGTGTAGAGTCGCGTGTTTGAAGCCAGAAAATGTAAACGTCACACAGGAAGAAACACACTTAGTTGTATCTTTATTTGCACAATGCATGTTGGTTTTTAAATAGTAAATTAAAAAAAAACTGCCTTATGCATGTGTATTTGAATGGTAACACACTGACACCAACATAATTCTTCATTTATAAATGATTTAGTGTATACAAACTTGTAATGGTTATTTCATTTACAATAACAAACAGAGATTTCCATTTTACATTTTTTTCTTATATTGGCAAGAGACCAATATTCAACTAAAATTTGACGCCATCTTGTAAAACAAAAATTCCAAAATCAAGTCATATTACTAGTTACTCTAAAATGAAAGTACTCGACATTACTTATTATAATGTCTGTATTATTCACGAAAATGAGACCACGATATTTCAAATTATTAAAGATTAAAAGTTCTGACCGACTTAACAAATTAAATCACCCTATTTACTTTCTAATATCTAAAGATATTTTAGAATTTTCTACCAGTCCTTCTACAGTTTTTATCCAACTTAGTATTGTTATGTGATCGTTGTTCAATTGTACCTATATGTATATAAAACAACTGTCAAAATGTTGGGATTTGCTGCATGTATAAGGTTACACTTTTATATTTCCGTTTATAATTATTTGTATCAGTGATGCGTTACACTATTCGAAATGAGAATATGAATCGACCCTATTGAGACCCCCTTTAGTATATGTTTACTCTAGTGCTTCTTTTCACTCCGTCTGTCTTTCCTTGCAAAGTAAATTTAAGCAACAAGATTAAATTTCTTTGCTGTATGTATAGAGAACTAGCTTAAAAAATGTATTTTGGTAATTTTAATGATTAATTATTAACCTGTTTGCCATATTTTGATAATATTAAGTCAGACAGAAAACCAAATAATTTTATATCGTGGAAAAGAATGAATATTTTGTGCTTTGAACTTCAAAAAAGTGATATCATGCGGTAATTGAGAAATCTTAATACTCTGAAATTTTGTCAAACTTTATCTTTATCCTTTTGATGTAATTATTACTTTTTACTCTTAATGCCATAATTTCGACTAAAAAGGCAAATAAAAATAAAAACAAAAAACACTCTTGACGAATATTTATAAAGTTAAAAAGAAAACCCAATACCAACCTGTTGTTGAAAACAAGTCTGTACGTTGAGTTTTTAATGTGTGCACTCATCATGATTAATCAGACAGTTTCGGTGTACTAAAGACGAAATATGCTTTAATAAAATTTACCAAAAAAATATATCTCCTTAATTTGATATGCTTTTACATATTAAGTAATATTTCAAATACTCAACAATAAAAAACTTTAAATGTTTATAAAATCTACATATATTACATTTATAACAGACAGACAGTACCTGTGAATTTCCAGAAGACTGTATTGACTGCTACAGAAGGCTTCAGTTTAACTGTTTGCGTCTAAAGCTTTGAGGGGCTCATTTTATAGCCAGCATTGTTTCGAATGACATACTTTTCTAGAGAAAGTTAAATTTTTTTCTCGAAAATTTGCATTATTGTTTTAATTTACGTGTGGGTCAATGTCATGTTCTTCAGATCCCCTCAGTAATTGTCGTGTATCTTTCATAAATTCTTAATGATAGTATTTATAATACCAGTTTTATGTCAAAACAAAATTAAATAGGTTCAGGGAAAACCTATGCCAGATGTCCAAAAATATTAAGTATTAATATATACTTACACACTTGAATCTGTTTATTCAAAGTACTAACAGAACCAGAATTAAATAAAAAAATGCAAGTATATTGAATTCATAATTCATCCATACACTTCATTATTTGTGTGTGAAATAAACCAGTCTTAATTGAACACCTGTCAATTCCAAACAGAAAGTCTGCTCGCACAATGGTTTAGTTTATGCATATTCTAATGTACGTGCATTTACTTGATACTTGTGGTAAATTTAGTTGGTTCATAAAAGAAGACTAAATGTCGATCACCTCGTAATCAACACTGACGTAAGGATATTTAAAAAAAAAAACAAAAACAAAACGTGGCATAAATAGAAAAAAAGACAAACAACAACCAACGAGAGCATAGACTTTAAACTAAATATTAACAACAAAAATCCCAATAAAAACTCGGGGCTGATTGAAGCGCTTTTTATATAGTGGGCAGTAAAGATACTTAACATTTTAAACGAACTACATTAAACATGTTACAATACTGGTATTACTGCAGTTATATTGCTGCTGACGAACGTATTGTCCGCAGCTCCTCAGTTGATACTGTCCTAGGTATATCTTTTTTTATTTTAAGGGGTATATCCTAGTTTTTCTTTGTTACAGCAATAAGCTTTTATTTCTTTTAATGCAAATTATTATTATATAGAACAAAACAAACTTTTTCACCTTAAAACCTTTAGAACATTGTCCAAAAGAGTTACAACCCTCAGATGCCTACCCTAATAGCTAACTTAAAAATTGAATCACATGCCAATACGTTTAATTGCAACATCACTTAATCATCATGGTTTGTTTCTTGATGTGCTTTAAATTGTATGATATTTAGAATGTGAAATTGATGCATCAATTGCATTTGCGACAATATGTGAGTAGGTGTGTTTTTAATTTTCAAATTAGCTCATGGTATTTTGTATTGTATGACATAGTTGTATATATTGTATTGTATGACATAAATAGACTAGTTTAGTCAAAATCTGATAAAAGTTGAATATCATTGAGAAAATCAGTTTTGGTTTGGTTTTGCCAGCTGTTCAGTGACTTTCTTTTTATAAAATTTCCTTTGAGTTCGGTATTTTTATTATTTTACTTTTCACATAGGCAGTCAATTAATGTAGTAAGATTACAAAAATATTAATAGAAGTGGTTAACCAGTCTTCCAGTTTTAGGTGCACATTGCCAGACAGAAGGCAGACGAAGATATGTCATTTTGTATAGGATCAGATGACTAGTAAAAGGTAGTATCTATCACTAAGTGTTTTTGATTTATAACGCTTGTTCCATTTCTCTATTGTTAGTTTTATCACACGTGTAGCTATATTAGTAATTTTCATACGAAGTAGACATAAATTTTTTCTGATGATTCATGATAGAGCCAGCGAGTCCTTCATTTGACTTTAAATTACCTGAATTCTAACATTAAAGATACTGTATTATTATTGCAATCCTGATTTAATATTTTGTTTCTAAATTGCCATATGGTTGCCACATCAGACAACAATACATAACGATGAATTTTGAATTGAAAAACCTGTAATTTCATTTGAATATTTAATATTATACTGATTAAGAAAAAAATCAATGAATAGGAAGACGGCGTCAATAGAATACTATGTGCTGTAGTTTGTTGATTAAGTATATATAATAGCACTCTTTCTGATAATAATTTGATGCAACTTTCTTACAAGTGAGAGGTTTAGCTAGCTATAAAACTAGGTTCAATCCCCCATTTTCGACATAATAAAATGTCTGTACGAAGTCAGGAATATGACAGTTGTTATCCATTCGTTTGATGTGTTTGAGCTTTTGATTTTGCCGTTTGATTAGGGACTTTTACTTTTACTTTTTGAATTTTCCTCGGAGTTCAGTATTTTTGTGATTTTACTTTTTTTTAACTGACATTTTAGCCAATTTTGCTGAAAAAATGCAGGGTCAGCCAATTAAAACTATTAACAGAATATGTTAAACGACTCACGAGACTACATGTGTATTTCAAATGTCATTCAATATTCCTGTAATACAAACCAGTTTGAGTTATATAAAGAAATTTCTACTTTCAGTAACGGAGGCCATTTTGGTTGGCGAGACAAGCTATCGAATACATTTTGAAAGGGACAACCTAAGGACTATGTAAGTTAAGTTTAGATCCAATTGCCATTCCACTGCAAGGAAGTAGATTTTTCATTGATTTTTCTGTCAAAATGTGCATAATTTGCATATTCGACAAAATCAGAAAAAGTTTGAATTTTATATCTATGCATTTTAGCCCTATGCTCTATTTATAAAAACGGTGGCCATGTTGGTTTGAGGGCAGGATCATCATATACAACTTTGAAAGTAGACACCCTAAGAATGATGCATGCGAAATGTCGATCCAATTGGACAAGTAGTTTAAGAGGAGAATATTTTTGACAGATGAACAGAGGACGGACACAAAATGATAGCAAAAGTTCAGCTTTGCTTTTAACCAAAAGAGCACAAAATTGTGATGTTTAAAAACATCTAAAAAAAAACCTAAATATGACTTGCTTATGATGACTATACTACACATACATCACCTGTAGTTTTACTATGTCAGAAGGCGCAATTCCTATTTCAAAATGCTACAACAACCAGATTGACGTATAACAATGTTAATCCACTATTCCGTCATTCATGACATTATTTTTTGAAATTCGACTTAATATAAAACATCGACATATGTCATGTTAAACCGTTTTAAGGACTACAACATTGAACAATTGATTGATTCGACATCATATTCTGTTTAAAAAATATTCCCTTTTTTCTCCACAAACTTTCTTTGTTGTTAGAATTTCCAATTCATATTGTATGTGCAGTTTCTTTTAAGACTGGCCCAAACATAATGATTTTCTCAATTCTTATTTTGAAGGTACTGTTCCTGGTTAGATCTTTGAATAAGTTGACATGTACCGACCTACTCGTTTGAACGCTTACATACTGTCCCGGATGATTTTTACATTTGTCGTTAACAAGTTAATTGTTCGTTTATTTGTGATGGATTCATCGTTTAAAATAGATTCAACACAAAAATATGTTTCGAAACGTTTGATATTAAATCATGCATTTAGATAACGTCACAGTTGATGACAAATAGTCTTAAATGTTTTCCCTATAGTCTGTTTATTTAATTAGGTTTATTCAACAACATTTTAACTAGTGCTGTTAACAATTTACCTCACTAGTCCATCATTCTAGTGAAATGTCCCTATTTATTAATTAAAAAAACCGGGGATACTCTCTGGAATGCATAATTATATTCGATATCAGTTATCAATTGTGTTGGTGGGATTTGATTGATTGATTGTTGTTTGCGTTACGCCGCATTAGCACAACAAGGCTATATCGCGGCGATGGTGGGATTTGAAGTTCCAATTATATTCTAAGTTAAAAGAATACATTTAAAATTGAGAATAGAAACGGGTAATGTTTCAAAGAGACAACAACTCGAAAAAAAAAGAGCAGAAAACAGCGCAAGGCCACCAATAGGTCTTTAGCTGGCTCCTAAAGAAAAATGTGCACTAGTTCAATGGATGTCAGACTAAACCGCGAAACATATAAATGAACCAAACTATAAAAAAGAAAAAAAAAACATGCCAGAGGTTGTTGACTTTGGACAGGCGCAAAAATGCGACGGGGTTAAACTTGTTTTGTGAGGTTTCTACCCTCCCTCATACCTCTAGCTAATGTAGAATAAACAAACACACAGCAATACGCACAGTTTAAATGAAGTCCGAGTCCGATGTTAGAATAGGTAACAGAAAAAAACTAAGCAAAATGACAATGATCAACATCAATTAACAAAGGAATACTAGCAGTTACTGACATACCAGCTGCAGACCTCAATTAAGCTGATTGAAAGATGATGTTTTCCTCATATGAAAATCAAGCACAATCCCTCCGGTTAGGGGTTTATAATCATACCAGGGTTTATTATCATACCAGGGTTAATTATCATACCATCATAAAATATACCAAAAGAACAAAACCCGTATTATGCCAACAGCTGATTTTATAATTTGTATGTTTACATGTGAAGTACACCATATGCATGATATGTTGATCCTCATTACATTTCGGATTATTCTAAGATAGGGAAGGAATTTCTATCCATTTGTGCAAATAGCGAAAGTTGTTTTTCGTTGAGGGAAGACAAATAAAAAGTACGCAATTTGTTTTAGAAATATCAGAGACATACTAGTACTAGCCAAACTTACAAGGGAGTGACTTTATAAACTAAAGGCGAGAAAGATACTGAAGGAACATTCAAAATGGTAAGTCGTAAATAACCTGACAACGTCATGGCTAAAAAGAAAGAGACAAACAGACAAACAACAGTACACATAACACAACATAGAAAACTAAAGTCTGAGCAGCACCAACTTCACCAAACCCTAGGGCCGATCTCGGATGCTCTGGAATGGTAAACAGATCCTGCTTCACACGTGGCAGCCGGTGTAATGCTCACATTAGTACAAATCCGGTTTAATCGGGGAATAAAAGACGAATTTGTTGTAACGACAATTGGGACACATCCGTTGTCATCTGTGAAACGGATATTCCATAACTGCCAACCAACTCCTGATGCCAACAATATTTCACGGGAGAAACTTTTCATACGATATAGGTATGTAACTAATTTGTTATGTCAGATGCTATATGACACAGAGAAACCTTAAACAGACCCTATTCTCTGATCCATCTGTCACAAAAAAATTACACTAAATTATGCTTCAACTGACTTCTAATCAATTTAT